ATCAGCTCTTGACATGTGATATTAGCAAGGTGTCGCTTCTAAATGAAGTCACTAAGATCAAGGACTGGGGCTGATAATATAGAGTTGTGATCAGTCGACTTTTTATGCTGCTGAAAACATCTGAACGGCTCATTTTTATCAGGAACCCTTGTCTGTCATCCACTCCCGGTGAACCCTGTGTTAAAAAAACGAAAACTGTCGGCTTGAGTTTAGATCAATTCTAAATGGTTAGTGAAGTTTTTGAACCAGACCGCCGGGTTTTGAACTAAATTTCATAGTCATATCATCAGTTTATCCTACCAGTAATAACATGAAGTAGTGTTTAGAGACTAATTTAGGTGAGTGAAGTATTGATTCTCTTTGAAACATGAAGATAAACAATCTGGCAGTAATTTACTTCATAAGTAGGCAGTGCATATTACGAGGAAATTAAGTAGTCAGCATATTCACATATTAAGCATATACAAACTCAGATAAATGTACAAAAACATAATCAGATAACTACCTACTAGTGAATATTAACAAAGTCAATAAAAGTTATGCATCTGACAGTCGAAAATGTGACAATTAAGAGAAATGTACACTCTATATCTGAAAAGTAATAGTATATTTATATTTTGACTACAACAAATCGATTGTGAATTCAGTACATCAGTATAGATCAGAACTCGTAATTTAGATACACCTTTCAAAATAAGCGCCATTTGTTTAAGTTATCATTACAGTATAGCTTTTTGTTGTATTTCTAGTTGAAACAGCTAACAGATGTTTAATAATAATACATGAAAAAATGTTGAGTTTTTTCTGTGTATAAGCTATTTTATTTTCATAGTAAACCAATCAGTCACCTATGTTATCTTCAGCATGGAAACTGCCTTACAATATTGTTACTTTCCTGAAGCAAAATAGTTCGGCATATATATGAAATCATGAGATGCCATAATTTGATTTTGAATATTGAACTTGTTTACAATACATGTATATGGGAATAAAAGGCGAGGGTATTTCTGAATTCCCCCGCCCTCTAACAACGGTTTCTTTGATTTTTGATTTGGTTACTTTGACCTTACTTCATTATCTCAAAGTGTATTGGTATAAACTTCATAAAATTGGAGTTTGAAAAGCAAAACAGAAAAAACGACCATTTAACCAACAAATAATCACCTTCATCTTCAGTCGGTCAGTCAATGTCAGTATTCCGACATAACTTTACTGTGTGACTATCTCAGTTGTCACATTTCATATCAGCACATCAAGATATAAGGTAACACGACGAAAGACGAAGTGGTGAATATCGAGAACCATAACATAGAAAGAACAGCGGTTACAGTATGATATTAAGGCTTAAATGAAGTTAAAGGGCGGTAGAGTACGGTTCCGTATTAAATTCGTTTATTTGATGTAACCTACTATGACAGAGTACAATTTACCGGTTGATGTTTCGAGTACAATTCATTGGTGGTGTTTGATATTGTGTTATATCAGAATAATTATACCTATAAAGTTACAGAAGTATACTTACTGGTGATATTATTTTCCCGCTGAGCAATATACTGAACCGAATTGATCGATCACTTTTGATAAATAGGCTCCATTTCATTTTGATGCTATTTTTTTGGTAGCGGCTAGCAGTGTAATCTAGGATTCACATTTCTTTCCATTTAGGACTTATAAGCTAGATGTACCTACATATTATTGCTTGATGGTTTTCTCACTGAGTTTCTAACCCAGAGCCCATTGTTACAAACGCCAGAGCGTTATCTAGTTGACCACTGTGTCACAAGAGCCACCTGTCACTCAATAAAGACGAAAAACACGTCATGGACTCCAATACTAACCAACATCAAGTAAATAGCATCACAGAATTATGATTTCGTCAAAGGAAATACTTTTTAATGATATATTCTCAAAGTGCTAAAACCACATATTAGTTCTAAATCGTCATTAGCGTATTAGTATATCTCTGGGTTTATGAAATGAATAATTTTACAAAAGGGAGTTGTGATTACTAAATCAAATAAGTGGTTTTAACTAGTAGATTAAAACCGTAAAAAATATAGTGATGGGTCAGTGACAATCTAAGTTCTACTCAGTTATAAATAAGTTACAGTCTTCTCGCTGGAAGCAGTTCAAAACAAAGTCCATGACATATGAGTGTTAATCAAGAATTGTGATTAGAAAATAACATTAACAATACTAACAGTCCAACAATCAGTTTGATGATCTGAAGTGGCCGTGGTTTGTTAGACGTGCAATGATGCTAGGTGATGAGGATTGAAGGTGGGATGAAAATCTGAGCTGCGGCAGGATTCGAACCAGCGAAATGAGGTTGAAATATGGTCAGCAGTCTAATCTGGCAGCTCACATGGTAGATCACTGCGTCAGTAACCCGAAGGCCACTGGTTTGGACCCCATCAGATCCCATATTCTCATTTCACGTTCAGTTATCATCCAGTATCAATATCAAAGGTCACTGAAATTAATTTGACGTGCAAAAAACCGACATTAAACATTTTCAGATCATGTTAATGATGGATTGTAGCTAGCAGTGGAATCTAGGATGAGCATTTCGTATTATTTGTGACTCCTCGGCTGGATATACCTGCTTTCCAGTGAGTGTTATTCCCACCGGGATTCGGACTCGGGGGCAACCGTTACAAACACCAGCACGCTGTCCACTACACCACCGAGCCACGACAGCTTCCCGTGCGACGGGTATAGTTTTTAGTATAATTGTTTTTATATGATACCGTCGTTGATTGGACCGAATTGATCGGTCTCTATTGGCATATGGGCTCCTGTGCGGATCCATCATTAACATGATGAGAACACTGACAATATCGAGACATCTGCACAGGAGCACACATGCCAACAGAGACCGATCAATTCGGTCCAATCAACGACGGTATCATGTAAAAAACAATTATACTAAATTTCAGATTATCTTGTTAAACCATATCGTGACCAGGATAATAAAGCAATTTCGCGAATTGCTTCTGCACGGAAACCTCTAGCCTTAGATTACCGAAGCTTCGTGAATCTACACGCAGTGTGTGTGGGCATCAGAAAGTCTAGTTGAATTTATCAGACATTATCAGACGAAGAATTCAAGGCTGAATGACCAGATTATACCACATATTGCGGTGTAAATGATGTTAATGATGTAGGTTACCTTTTGCTAGGCCATGCTGGGAGATTCTTTTCAAATACGTGTTGCTGTATGAACGATGTACATACCAACTCCCATGGATTTTCTTTTTATAACTGAAAAGCTTAGATACGAAGAGTTATTTCCAACCACTATGGGTCTAAAGTAGGGTGTGGGGAGGATATACCGGAATTCAAACTTCTTCTGAGGTTTAATATCTCCATAAAATACCTTCAAGATTTCCCGTTTTAGATTGTCTAAGAAATCTGCAGGCATCTTCAGTTTGTTGTCTACTTGCAACCACAAGTAAAATCAATTACCTTGAGTTTTACAGAAAGCCTGACAGCCGTCTGAGTGAGTATGCAATTACTTCTAGAACAGGCTAAACTACATACCTCACAATAAGGAAGACATGTGATGTAATTATGATTAGTCAGTTATGCCCCAAATATCATCCAGCTAACAATACTGATTAACTGATTTTTATATCGAATAGGATTATCTAGTATGAAGTTATACTCTACCACAGATTCAAATTTCACTTCCTTATAAACTTTTTCCCACTCAGTAAATCTTTACCAGGAGATTGTTAAACTTCTTGGAAGTTTCATATAGACGATCGGCATATTTGTCAAAATTTATCTAGAATTTACGCCTTAAATTTACTACATCTAGTACGGTTATATTGTCAAAATCTTTCACTTATTTATAGATTCTAATCCTACTGGGAGTTGCAAAACAGCAGCATCTTTTCAAATTTGTCAACGTTTACTTCGGTAGCTAAACATGATGGAGACCAACTTTCAAACAGCATAACTTTTATAACACGATCATCTGACTCTGATTTTCCGCAAACAAACAGAGAGTAATCTCTGTTTCGTTTGAATGCATTGCTTTGCTTCAAGTCTGATTGTGTAACAGGTGTTCATATCTATAATGTAGTGAGAATCGGGATACTTGTAGAAGCTTCAAAAATACCTTAACAGCTGAGATAAAGGTCTAGGAATTACATCTGATTCTGTTATGTGGTTAAAACACACCAAATATTTACAGTACTTTATCTAAGCAAACAAGTATGGGGAAATTAGAATTTAACAAAGAGTTTGAATCAGTTTTCAAACGTGACTGTAGATGGAAACCTCCTTACGTAGGGAGATTTTGATGATATGATGATAACAGGTCACTTTATCACGAGTGATAAGAATGATTGATGGATCTATCCGGGACATGGTATACTATTACTTATAAGCTTATACAAAATGTTTTACTAAGAGGAAAACTAATGACCTGTTACAAAATGTTCACCTAATCCAAATCCTTTAATTACCTTGCTTCCGTTAACACTCCTTCAAGAAAGTTGGCTGAGGTTTATGAGCAACATAAATACATAGTCGAGAGGTTTTCATGAACTTCTGAGGGTTGTTTTCTAAGCAGATCACCTGCAGGTAGCCTCTTTACAGTACACTGCTGAATGACTTGTTACTTTTTACGTTATCTCCTTATCTTAGGTCATGAAAATTAATTATTCAATTTAATTCCGCACTAAAAGATAGTTGTCATAAATTCATATCAGCTACTTTTGGTCAGTAGAAAATTGTTTTTTCCCATATACTATAAACAACCTGAACGAATTTTTATTCTTAATTGCATATATAATTTATAGGAAGTTTTTGTACACCGGGTTATGCATTTCAAAATATTAAATTTTCGTGTATAGTCACATAAAGGTGATAAGTTGAATGCCTATTGGAAGACAGTGTTTTTGACCGGCCATGTTTTGACCAATCAGGATGCAGTTAAGAAATAAGTCTCACATGTTCTTTTTTAGTTGTTGTATGACAGTTCAAAGCTAGAAATTGTGGTGAAACTTTCATTCGATTAAAGTTTTGACGATAAAATATACAACATCGGTTATCGGAGTTTATAAACTGTTATCATTTTTCTCAAACAAAAACAAACATTACTGATGGGATTTAATTAAATCTGTAAATATGTTCACACTTTCTATTAGCTTTTATGGATTAACTTGAAGCTCCACATAATGTATATTTCCCTAAATATATTTCATCTACTTATTATCATAATTATGCATGTTGGGTTTGACAGTATTCAAAGTCGTTCATATCAGTCAATGGATTTTGAACGAATGTTCACAGGAAGACACATACTGTCATCCGACTGGGAGGGCGCTCCATCATTTTATTCACCCGGTGGTATGACACCAGACAATGAACCTCGTGCCCCTATTTATTTGGAATTAATACACAATCTTACATCGGTGAATGGCGCCTCAGGTATTTGCGGTGTCTGTGCACGCATATATCGTGTTTTGTATATGACTCAATTAAATGCTGCTGAAGAGTGCCGACGCCATCACAATTCAAGACAAGCCGCCTTTGGGGATATAACGGAATTTTACCACACTGTAAGTACACCAGAAATGTTGTTCTGTTAATAATGATATATATATATATATATATATATATATTCTCCGTATTACCACTGGTAGATTTCTCATATATATATCAGTCGTCTACGTGTGCATATGTTGCCGATCCGAAGGAATTGAGGTCGACGATAAGGTGCAATTAACAATAACAAATTGTAGCGAAGTGTTTGATAATTAAACATCTGGCTAAATTATGATAGGAACAATAGGATTTACCGTTGAGGTTTAAAGGAGTGGACGAATCGAAGGCGGAGGATAATGCAAGACAGACCCAAACATGGTGAATTCAGTGTTTACCTAATTTAGGTTCTGTGTATCCTTTTGCTTGTCAACCATTCTTATCTATTTGTAGTGGGTGATGATTGAAGGTGAGATGAAAATCTGGACCGCTGCCGGACTCGAACCAGCGAGTTCTACCTACAAGGTACCTACAAGGTTTTCAACTGCTAACCGAACATATCACTAGACTGAATCCCGTTTCTTTTACTGCAACATTTCAGCCACATAGTATAATGAGTTACCGCACATCAGGTGTTTTCAATAGCAATAAAAAACTTATGTCACATAGCAGATGAATAAGATTAACATGGAATCCAGCATATAAGTGTATCTGTTCAAGTTGCCACACGCTACAGTAATCTCCAAGGAACAAGTGGATAAAAGTGATATTAGAGTAGACGAAGTTGTATGAGGAATTAACAAGTTGAATATAAAGGTTAGTGCAAACATTCAAGCTTTGGAAATCGTCAGTAAATGAATATAACTACGTCACTGTGACTGATTTTTAACCATGTCATCAAGAGTTCTCAATCACTGATTCTTTTCATTTCGGGGACCCCAACCAGATAGTCTACACCTTCGTACACGGCTCAGATGAAGTGTCAGAGACTGGTTCCATATCTTGGTCTGGTTGTCCTCACTGTAACCGTTTACAAATAACTTATTCAAGGCATAAACAATATGCTGACAGTGTAGCAGGATGAATATTTTGCCAATGTTATTCGTTGTCTGTTCTTTACTTTCTAAAAGACAGTGGTCTGAGTTTATTTCTTGATACCATCTTATTTATTTTAATCCTATTTTTCATGCACACTTTGCAATCAACCAGGGAACCGTTTAAAAACAGGAAGGATTAGGATGAGCTTTAAAGGAAGGAATCACTAAAGTGTCCTCATCGTTAAGCCTAGAGACCTTAGACTTATTTGTTTGGCTGTTACGGACGAAGACTCATAATGAGTCAGGAACTGAAACCAAACAGTTTTTCAGCTCTTCGTTAAATGATACTTATAGGTAAAGAATACCGAGAAGTTTGTACTTATTTATTTCCCAGCTAATTGATTGTTTTAGCTTATGAATAAAAATCTAATTCCATAGCTTAAACTCCTTAGGTTTTGGCATTCACTTGGTTTACTTCGAAGATACGAATAGAATATCTTGGTGTCTTTTCTTATCTATTTACTTATATTCAACGTTTTCGGTGCTTGACCTTAAAACCATCAGTTAATAGGGGAATTTCCTTCAAAAAGATCATGTAGGTTTGCGTGTTAAATTAAAATTACTCTGTGATTTGTTTCTGTAACCGCGATTGGACATCAAGAATTTAGAACAATGAGTCACAAGCTACTGATCACTCCTATAAATAGGATTATATATTTCAAATGTAGCATAATCTCCCTGATTGTGGTCGACTAGACTGGATCATGTAACAAACTATGAGGAGCTGTAAGAAGATGAGCATACACTGGCTGAACCGATGAAAAGACACTAGACAATTCGGATTTCGCCGATGATGATGATAATGATGATTTATGTCTCATACATTGTCTCACAAACTCGAAGATCCACAGGCAAAAACCAACAAGTTGACAGAAGGGACGAGGCAGCGAAGACGCGACTTCCTTCAGCTGATCGTAGAGGAGACGGAGGTGATGAAGATACTCAACCAACACAACAACATCAACAAACAAGAGGCACCAATCACCATGAACTGGAGAAACCTAAGGGAAGTAGTCTCTCTCACCTACACCTACCCAGGTAAGGCAGCATCGTTTCAAATACAGGTGGCGGCACAGGCACAGATGAGCACGTCGAAACAGCCAGGATCGGAACAGTGAGATAGGTCCTCATTAATCTGAAACCGGTGTGGGGAAATCTACTACACTGCAGTGCACTCAGCATAAAGCGTGAACAACATCCGGATTCTCAACACTAATTCACTCAAGTAAGTCAGTGCTTCTGTGTGACGGTTGAGAGACTCGGCGCATCACGAAAGCATTTCCAACAAACTACAGACATACACCAACAGCTGCTGCCTACGCTCACTCGATGCTGAAGATCATATGGCCAGAAAGAATAAGCAACAAGTCACTCACTCTGGTTGGTGACGAACGAGAGAAGCAAGAACCCACCACCCGAGAAGTATGCAGAAGAAGGAAGTGGATTGGATTGGATTGGGGATAGAGTGAGAAGACTGATTGGGGATATCGCGTGCCAGGCCGTCGAGTATAATGTGAAGGGGGGTGAGGAGTTGGGCGTCGTAGGTGAGGTGAGGGTGACATGTAGGAGATGATGTGAGGAAGAAGTGAAGGGTTGTGGGCAGTTGTTGAGCCAGGTTGAGAAGACTGTAGAGAAGAGAGTGAAATGGAGAGGTGCTGCTGAGGCCCTACATTCCACTGGGAACCCAAGGGACAAATAGTAATAATGAGTAAATGGATAGACTAATGCAAACTGTATGTCAAGTGCGCAAATAACTAATCTCTCTACCTGATTTCAGTAATATCCAGTTCAATAACATTATTACTGTATTTACTCATATGATAATCATCACCAGCTTACTAAATGGATGTACTGAAGGGTATCAAATTTGCCTGCTTGATTTTACTAAGCGAAACCTAAACCCTAAGTAATCCCAACTGTATATCAAATCCATCATTTGAAGGGTAAGTGTATCTCCTATTTTAACTGACATGATTATTGGGTATTCTCCAAGCTTTGAATTTTGTCTTAGTTGTTCCATCAACAGGCGAAGAAACTTCAGCATTTACTCCATAAGTAAGTCTTAACTGTTTGAGGGAGGTAGGATGAGTTCGACCTTATGTCCCATTTGTTAAGACGAAAGTGGTGAGAAGGGGGCAGCCAGCAAGAAAAATTGAGGTTTAGATTTCCTCTTCTTTTTGGTAACCGATAAGGGTGTCCATAATCTAAAGGAAGTTGATGTATTCCCAGAGTATTGTGCTCATACCACCCAGTATCCTTTTCAAGGATGTTTGGTAGAAATATTCCACTAACACCTAGAACTGGACAATATGGCGTTTATTACTATCGTGAGATCTATCATTACACTTAAGACATAATTGTGATAGTACTGACGTACAGCTTTTTAAGCCGACACACAATCCGTCATGACTTCTTAACTTGCTAAAGGATCAGCTAGTCAATATAAGCATGGAGTCTGACAATACGGCGTAACCGTACAAGTTGAGGACTGAAAGCTATATTATATAACACTACTTGTGTCTCAGATACATCATAACACGTCCATTTTCCATGAAGTCTGATTTATCTTTTGTGAACTAGACTTATTTTTCCAGGATAAAAGCATTTGATGTGCTGGTAGAAATCTGACCACTAGATAATAAAAAGCAGTCATAACAGTGATAAGTATATCACTGAAATAAATAATGAGTGAGTTTTGTTTTTATGAATTAAATAAGTTATGTGATACTGTAACTATAACAACAATCCATTAAAACTGGAAAAGTATTCGTTTTAGTAACAAAAATAAAAGCTTAAAAAACAAAATAACTAAAAAACTTTTTTTATCCCTCTAACGATTCATAGTGTCTAATAGCAGGGTTTTAGGTAGATAGCAACAACATTAATTGCAATAATGACGATATGTGTTGTGCAGTTATTTCTCTTTTAACTATTTATCTTCATAGTGGAAATTTATTATTCATGTATTTTAGAAAATGTGTAAAGTTTTAAATAATTGTAACACCTATTATGTAATCCTACCCATTTCGAATTAAATATTGCTTTCCACTTTGACGTACCATTTACATAAGGTGGATTGAATTCTATTCAGACTGAGTATATGGTGTCGTCAAACCAATCTTGTTTCAGAAAGTGATGTTAGGATAAGTTTAAACACATTAAACTACTGTTGGTTATAAGAACTCTAATCCTACCTGACTGATATTGTAAAGATGGCGCAAATCAATGACTGAACACTATTGGTGATATCTCTTGAAAAGGGTGACAGTGTTGCAGATATATGCACCTTTTGTCATCCTAGAAATTTTGAACATTTTCACTAGTCTCTAACTAATTATTCGCTCTCCTGTCGTATATATTTGTAAATTTAAATGTTATTCTTCAGTCATCCATTTCTCTACGTGTACTCCAGACAGACACGCAAAATCAGCATAGAACCTCGCATAGAAGTGGATCAGTTAAAGTCGCAGTGAACTGTGGCTATTTGAACTGATGCACTTCTGTACAGGTAACCATGGTGATTGGATTGTGCTCAGAGTAAATCTCACTAACCCTGGTAACTGTCAGTAGCCTATTAATAGATGTATATTATGTTAAGCTCCGGTTTTTTGGTGTTATAAATGATTTTAAAGACTGCTTCATCAATTACTTATGTTTTTTTGGTAAAACACGCCTGTGTATTTATCCAAGTGACGTTTGAAGAGATTTATCGCCGAAATAAAGACACTTATTGAGTGACTCTACTTAGAATTTACTGATTTACGTCGTTTGTAAACTGATGTTAGTATGAATTGAAGACCTCTTCACTGTGATAAGCGCAGTCCCCTAGACAATCCATAATGTTGTTCTAATCTTACTCGGCGTCAGCTGAATATTAATAGTTAATATTGGACTAATCTCCTCATAAAGTGTAAACGTTTCCTAATATTTTTGTCCAATTATGCGCTACATATCAGCTGAAAGTAGTATATAATTAGACA